TATTAAATGTTTATAGTGAAATGGAGGCAAAGGTTGCAAAAGAAGGAAGATCATATGCTATGGATTACGCAAAAGAGTCAGTAAGTAACTAATTGTCATATGATTGATTTAATTCATATTTTGGAGATTTTGGATTCTTTGTTATTTTCATGTGTGTAATTAATTTCATGAATAGATGAAGCAAACAATAAAAGTTTACTTTCGTGAAGCCAAGTGGCGGGAAGAAGGCTACGTTCCACCTGTGGAGGAGTATATGCAGGTAGCCCTCATTTCTTGTGGTTATCCAATGCTCATAACAAATTCCCTTGTTGGCATGGGAGAAGTTGCAACCAAGGAGGCCTTTGATTGGATCTCTAATGACCCTAAAATGGTTAAAGCTTGCTCAATTGTAAATAGACTCATGGATGATATTGTCTCACGTGAGGTATGTACAAAATTTTAGTCGAGTTGGTTCTCATTAATAAGAAGTTTAAATTATGGGGTTAATTAAATCTAGTACATGTTCAAACACTGACAAGAGTTAACAACGAATTCCCTTGCCAACTAAATGCAGTTTGAGCGAACACGAGATCATGTTGCATCAGGTGTTGACTGTTATATGAAACAATATGGTGTTTCAGAGGAAGAGATTGTGAAGGTGTTTTGGGAAGAAGTTGCAAATGCGTGGAAAGACATTAATGAAGGGTTCATGAAACCAATTGTCCTTCCCATGCCTATACTCACTCGAGTACTAAATTTTGCTCGTGTAATGGATTTCTTATACAAGGATAGTGATGGCTATACGAACTCTCACGGTTTGAAGGACCATATTGTATTGCTGCTGGTGGATCCTATTACTCTGTGAAAGAGTTCCTAGAACTCCATTTAAATTCAAGTGAAATCTATGGCTTGTTATATATATAGCTTGAAGGGATTTTATAATTCGTTTGTAATGTGTGTGTTTGCTTAATATTTCGTTTGTAATGTTTGTAATGTGTGGGATTGTTTGTAATATATTTTGTTAATTAAATGTTTGCTAATTAATAAAAATGCTTTACTGAAATTATTTGTAAATAAAAATCTCATATTAACAAGCAAGTGAATACAAGTCAATTTGCATATCCCATTGATTTATAAAATTGTTATCAACAAATATCAATTTGTTCCTTTCCAAAAAAAAAAAAAAAAAACAAATATCAATTTGTTATCATCAAATTAGTGAAATTAAAGAATTAATGAAAATTGCTATCTAGTTGTGTTATCTATATGTCCATATCTGTTATTCTATTGAACAAGTTGGAAATATTAGTAGTAGACTTGCTTAACCCCCTAGCCTTTTAAAAATATGTTTGGGTTGAGAAAAATGAAAGAAAGGGGATGAGAAAAACATTTATTTATTTATCAAAAAAATTGAAAAAGACCATTGATTTGTTGGTCTAAGTGAAAGAGATTCGGTTCTCTTTAAATAAGATATTAAATTTAAGTCTTGTAAATGGAGTAACAAGTACTGAAAGAGTTTCTCCTCTTATGTGATTTAATGCGACTCGTTTCCAAATTAGTTCAGATCTAATATGGCTACTAAATATCATAATATTAGTATAAAAAAAATTAGAAAAGAAAGGAGGAGAAAAAATTCTTTACTTTATTTTTTCTTTTTATTTATTTATTTATTCAAATAAAAAAATAAAATAAAATAATTCTTTTTCCCTCCCATCTCTTCCCCTCAACCCAAATATACTAATAAAACTTATTGTCTTTGAAGGTGTTAAGGTATTTGACCCACAACATACAATATGTCAACACCCCTCAACACAATCATACTAATAAAATTTAACGTCTTTGAAGGTATTACTGTATTAGACCCACAACATCAATATATCAACATTGATCCTTGAACTACGCAGTATTTAGACTATTAGCCCAAAATTGGCGCGTCATCTTTCTTCAGAAGCGCCGACGCCTAGTCATCGACACGTAGACGCAGCAAGGTTAAAACTTTATTTTAATCAGTTCATTTTAATAAAAAGTTTGTTTTTAATCTTTTTATTTAAA